CTTCCCCTTAGTCATCCTGGGCAAACATGTTCTTAACTGATCAAATGGTTATGCTAAGAAATACTTAAAAGTCCCAAATATAGTGAGTAAATTTTTGGAAAATAAGTTTACATTCTTGCGACAGGAGAGCCCATCTTTATCTAGACTTTAAGAAGGAAGTACAAGAGGAAAGACAGACACCACACGCACGAATGTTTAAAATTTAAGTCTTTGCATAGTAAAACAGTGCCTCAAGCTAAACCAATGGGAAAATATGATGAGAAGAAATGTAATATGCATGGCTTCTGGAATATTTCAAGAGTCCTACAAAGAACCATATGTGTCTTAATTAAGAGGGGCTTCAATCACTCAGTGCTTTATTCTAATAGGTATTTTCTTTTACTTTCTGAAATGAAGCCCTGACACCACTTGGCTTGTACGAATTCCCTCATAATGCCTGAGTTTATGAAGAGGAAGTAGCACATTCAGGGATGCTTCCCATAGGCTGTACCCATCAGCCCCAGAGGGAATGCGCGGAGCTTGCTTGCTTTAGTCCACCCATCTATCCATCCACCCATTCTTCCTTCCTTCACTTCTTCCTTTCTGATTTCTTTCTGTGTTTTCATTTCTTTTCTGTCTACCTTTATTCAAATTTAACTGTACACAATATTTATTTGTTACTCATCACCTTTCCCCCTTTTATTCTTCTATTCTGAGGTATTTGCTCTGACACTTTGCTATTGTGGACCAAACTTGCATGACTTTCTTTTCTTTTTACGGGATTTAGGGGCCTGAGTTTGAGACATTTTCAAGCAGAATCTGCATTCTATTGCACTATAGTTTCCAAGGTTGTATATATACAGATCAATAAAAGGCAGATTGTACCTCCTTTCTGCTACAGTTTACCCAAGAGTTTTGTCTGTCTGAGGCTGGGACTGCAGACACTTTAAGAAATAATAGGGTAGAATTCTAAAGTAAGAAGTACTGAAACAGGCTCACATGTTCAAAGAACGTACTAGAAGAAATCACCGAGGCTGCAGGGTATCCTGGTGGAATAAGATAAGGGATGCTCTATCAGGGTGTGCTTCAGTGATCAGGCCAGGCTATGAAGTTTGTAGACTTAAGCTGGGTGGTGGTGGTACATCCCAGCATCGAGGAGGCAGAGGCAAGTGGATCTCTGTGGGTTCAAGACTAGCCTGATCTACAGAGTGAGTTCCAGGACAGGCTCCAAAGTTGCAGAGAAACCCTGTCTCGAATACCCCCTGCGGAAAAAAAAAAAACAACAAAAAAAGACTTTGACTTAAGGCTGGGGTTTGTTTCTTTTGGTATTTGGGGGAAAGACATAAAGATCTTTGTAAATGCCTGTGGTTTTTCAAGCCCAGTCTCAAGGTAACTTTCAGGAGACAATGCATGTGGCTAACCAGTACACTCCATGCAGGACAGGGAAGTGAGTGTCATAACTGAGGGGCTTACTGAGGAGTGTGTGTGTGTGTGTGTGTGTGTGTGTGTGTGTGTGTGTGTGTGTGTGTGTGTGCCCTATGGCAGTATTATATCCTGGAGCCCAGTGTCCCCCTTTGCAATATGAAAAATCTTTTCTACTCTTCCAAGTATTGCATGTCCTCTATATTCTTATTTCTCGTCTTTCTAGTAAGCATTTTTTTTCTGTTATCTATCTGCTTTGGCTTTTAATAGGGAAATGATATTTTTAATTACCAAAGAGTTCTATGTAGCCTTGCCTTTATTAAAAGATTGCTTCAAATTTTCATGCAAGTTGATTCTCTTCTCCACTCAACTTCTCTAGCACCTGCCCTGATGTTTGGATCCTTCTGTCTAGATTCTGGTTATTGACATACAGGAGAAGCTTTTTTTTTGACACTTCTGACAGTTGCCTTTGGTTACCGAAGGCTCCTTTGGGTGGCTGTTCTGCAAGTGGTACAAGGTAAGTGGGCTGACTCTGTGACAAAGAATCTAGCAGACATCCCTATTCTTGCTGAGTCATCATCCAGAGGAGGCCTTTCTGGGTCCTCCTTCTTGGGCATTATGGCCTCTGGAAGGGACTCAGCCTGTTCGTCTTCTCTGCTTCATCAGTGCTAGGGGACTACTTCATGAAGAATTAATGCTGCCTTTCATTAGAACCCCACACCAAGTTCTCCCCAGTGTGCACCAGTCTTTCACCTTCGGGATCCCTAAAATTAATCTCCAGGTACTTATTTGACCTATGGACAAGAAAGACTTATATACTGTTCAAAGCCTTAATGGATCCTTTGCCTCCTAGTTCGAGATGCTTAAAAATACAGTATCATATGACCTCTAAATCCTTATTCTTAGTATATACCCAAAAGGATAAAATCACTGCCCTCAAAACATGTCTGTATTCCATGTTCACTGTAGTCTCATTTGCACTAACCAAAAAATAAAAACAAAACCTAAGTGTAGCTACATTAGAGTAAGAAACTATGATACACGTTTGTCTGACTGTCTGTCTTTATGCAACCCATGACTGTCATATATGTGTGCAAGGGGGTGTTATTCAGCTTTAAAACTGGTGGTAGAGTACTTGCCTAGTATGCACAAGTACCCGAGTTCAAAAGGCCAACATCAAACAGTACATGAGTAGCACAAATTGGACTTGATGGTTTAAAAATAGCACAACATTAGGTGTGTATGGGATGTGTAGATCTGTCAGGAATTTGGGAGGCGTGAATATGATCAAAATACATTATACAGAATCCTCAAAATATGAACAAAAAAGAAAAATTAATAAAAAGAAGATCTTGCCAGTTACCACAGCATAATGAACCTATAAAATAGTATGCTACCTGAAATATGCCAGATACTGGAAAGGAGTACTACATTATGTTACTTACATGTAAAATGTAAAAGAAACCAAATGAGTAGCGAATACAATGGCTGTAGGCATTTAGGGTGGAGGAGGACTTGGAGAGGTGTAGGTCAGAGGATAGAAAGTTGAAGTGTGCAGAATAAACAAAATTCACAGCATAGGGACTATAGCCAACAGGTGCTTTTGCCAAAATAGTCTACGTGAGATTGTGGATATTTTGATTTGCCTCACTATAGTAACAGTTCCATTGTACATGTATAGCAGAGCAAGTGAGCTACCTTAAAATTATGCAATCATCTTTAAAAAATGGACAGAATCCAAATTCTCCCCCATGCTCCAGCCTTAGGTGTCCTAGCTTCTGCCTCTTGGTGGTCCTCTCACTGACTTCGTCATAGTTCTGGGCTCTCTTCTGTTCCTCACTTTGCACACAGCCTCTTCCTAGCTCAAGGATGTTTTGCCTGAGAATCCCCTTACTTTCAGCCTTCTTTCCTGGATGATTTTTCTGTTCACTCCTTCTTGCTCTTTAAGTCTTAGCTTAAACTTCACTCCTGAGAACTGCTTCCTAGATCATTCTATTAGTTTATCACCTAGTTCTACCCCTAGGCAGTCTACTGTGACAGTCTTTGTCATAGTCACCATCCTCTTCCTTCACCCTTCTCACCACTATAGTTGAAGAAATGTTCTTATCATCCTACACAGAATGTAATGTTTTCATTCACAACATAATAGGAGGTCATTAGTATTTTTTAGTGAACATATCAATACATGTCACATTCCTTTATACCATCTGCTGAAACACATGAGACAATGAAGAGGCAGAACAGTTAAGTTCATAAGTACCAGCTGTGCAAGAAGGCGGACCTGAGTTCTATCCCCAGCACCTGCATGACAACCTGGGCACTGCAGTGTGTAACTGTAATCCCACCAGTAGGAAGGAGGAGACAAGAAGGCTCTGGGACACGCTATCTAGCTAGTCAAACTGAGTTGGTGAGCAACATGTTCAGTGAGAGAACTTTTCTCAAAAAAATAAGATGGAGAGCAATTTCATAGGGCATTTTACATCAAGCTCTGGCCTCCACATGAACTCACACACACACATGCATGTACACACACACACACACACACACACACACACACACACACACACACACTTGAAGACATAAATAGTCATATAAGAAAGATAGTATTTGTTGGCTTATCTGTTTACCTTTGCTAGACCAATATATAAGTCTGGGTAATTTATAAAAACATAACATTTATTGATTTAGATCAGTTATGAAGAGCCAGTGTCAAGAACTCACATCTAGTGAGTTCCTTCTTGCTGCTGGGGACACTGTATAGTCTAAGGTGTCATAGTCTGAAGTGGCACCACACAGGAAGACAGATTAAAACCTCTAATTTAGTTAACTCTTCCTCTTGTAAAATCCTAAGCCCTCCTAGGGGCCTCATCCTCAGGACACCACCTACTCTCAATTACCCTTGATGGCACCACCTCGACATATCATAATATGTGAATGAATTCTGGAGTACCTAACTTGTTTGAATTATATTCCATTGTATTTATTTCTTTTCTTAACTCCGCTTAGTCCTGATCCCACTCTATCTTTTTCTTATTAACTGGAAGCCATTGATGATTTCTGAGCCGAGAAACTTCCATGGGATAAGACCTGGAATTACTAGGATGAGCCAAGAAACTTCCATGGGATAAGACCTGGAATTACTAGGGTGATCTTACAGAGGAAGGATCCCTTAGCTCCCATTCCACGTAGCTTCCCTGATACTTCTACCCCAACCTCAAAATAACTGTGTCTTATTTGGAGCTAGATATACCCCTGTCCAAAATTCATCATGGCATCTCACATTGCTGTGCTGAAACCCATGTCTGTGCTTTCTCTGATCTCCACAGTTGATACCTATTAATGGGAGAGGCATTTATAGCCTTTTGTCTGAATTTTTGGTGTCTAGCAATCAAGTGTTAGTTGATTGATGAATGGATGAGAATTTACAAGTGATTCAAGAAGGGCACACACATTTGCATGCAGTGATGTACATTATGCAAATCAGAGTGCTTTGCATTCCTAACGGTGTGAGATCAGTCAGGAGCCCAAAGTTTAGTTGTCTTCAAAGCAAAATGTTCATCGTATCTACACACGATTACCCACGTCAAGCCCTGGGTTTGTCACCTGTGCTGTGGCTGCAGACCATAATGTGCATGGTTGAATCTGGAGTTCAGCATCTTCTCTAGATACTTATTTACTGCTGCTGTGGTTAATATTTTCTGGAGAAAGCTATGGAACCGAGTGAAGAATGAACTATCCATGGGATATCCATTACTCCAGACGCGGTGTAAAATCCACGATCCTCGTCGAGTGCTGAGGAATACCTGTGGAAAGCAGAATTAAGCAGGGGAGAACAGAGGAATGTTTACCTGCTGTACTGTTCAAATGTTAGCTACTGTTCCTGAAGACAGGAAGCCGAGCACCACTGTGCAGTAGTCACCATGCTGTGCTTTGCCAGAGTTTTTATTGAGCCCCAGAAAAAAGGCTGTTTATATGACACCAAATTTATTCATGAAAACTAACAGGCAATTCACTTATCTACCTGTCTCTGAAATACCATGTTAAAAAAATACCCCTGGATATTGACATAGCTATTCTTTGTATATAAAAAAGAGTCTGAATTCATAAGTTAATCACCATATTAATTGCTATAACAGTCTGTATTGTTTTCTTTAAAATAAATCTGTGGAAAATATTTGGTGAGAGTAACCCAGACTCAGAAGACAATTAGCACATGATCCCCTCATAAGAAGATCCTACCAAGGAAAATCAAATCGGTTATTTGATGCCATGCTGGTTCTCTCTTCACTTAGGGCACCTGGTAAATTGTTCACATGCCGGTTCCAATTGTTAGTATAATGGATTTATTTTGCATTCATTTTGTACTTAGCATGAATTCAAACATCTTAAGGGTAGGTCCATAGATTTCTCTACATTTTTTTTTCTGGACTTTCCTAAGCCAAACCTACATTCAGGATGACACCTATAAATGCACAGCATTCTGCTGGTGAAGTCAATGATTGCCAACAAACCTGTTTTGCTACTCGGCCAAGTTCCACTGCAATGTCCACACCAGAATTCCCAATGCCGACCACTATGATTCTCTTTCCTGTGTAGTCCTCAGGACTTTTGTATTCCCGACTATGGAAATAACAGCCTTCAAACTTCTTAATGCCTGTGGTGGAAGAAGATAATTTGTCATTACGAGGAGAACTTTCACATACTAACATACATAAAAAAGCTACATCCCGAACAACCTGAAGGAGGAAGAAATGAAATCAGGATCAGCCAGCTGAAGACCACACATGGTCCTCAAATGCAATTTATGTTTAAGGGAGTTCAAGGGATGGAGGACTCAGAAGAAGAGTTCACAGGCTCTGAATACAGACTGGTGATCTTATTAAGTATTTACAAAATAACAGATCTATCTGTCTTGACTCTGTACAAGTGAAGGTGTCACACCACACCAGGATTTACTGCTATTCATTATTATGTTATTCTCACAGTTCTAAGCAAACTGACAAAGCAAGGCACTACTGGGTGTTGTACTGTTTTACAATTCTCTAGGATCTGGCGACCTTTTCTTCATTGGTATGTGCCTTATGTGCCTGATGCCAGTACCTGATGCTGTACCTGGCTTGGCTGCATGCTTCATAAAGCCTGCAACCAGGGACTTTCATTTTACAAATATTTGTGTTAGTTTGCAAAAAGATTATACACCTGTTATGCCTAATTGGATCAGAATTTTTGAGCAACCATTTAAAGCGATCTTATTTACTGTGTCTCCATTTTGCCCAATGGTTTCTTGGGCACCATAGAAAGGAATTGAAATATAAAATAATTTCTAATTGATTCCTGGTGGAAATTTGATGGAAATAGAGGGCAAGTGGGTTAAGAGTAAGGAGAGAGGGTTTAGTTAGGGGAGATAGGGGAGCAAACCACCAACTGCCATGAGATGAATACCATTTTACCATTTAGATCTACAAGGGAGCAGTAAGCTTCTCATTTGGCTGTATTAGCCAATGAAAAGGTAGGATGTGGAAGGGGGAAACCTCATGGCCTCCACACCTAGACTATATTTGAGTAAGAAATGCCGAGAGCCAGAGAAATAGTCTTCGCCAGGTAAAAGACCCTTCAGTTGGTTATCCAATACCAAGTGAGCAGCCCTTAAGTCATATATATCACATATATTGTTGTTGGAGGGAGGAAAGGAAAGGGGGATGAGTAATTATATTTTACTTATAAAATTAAAAATAAACTCATGATAAATAAATACACTGAAATTCCTTCCCCATATGTTAAGATTTCTAAATTTATGGATTTGCCAGCTGTTTACTTGTCATTTGTCTTTGTGCCTCATTTTTATTAATTTCACTTTCTCTGGAATAGACTGAAGCCAAATAAATTGACAAAACTAAAGCCATTAGAATGTCAACTGAGTTTTGTTACTCATTAGAAGCTGGATGCAATGATAAGGGAGAGAGCATGGGTCATTGTATTTGCCTGGTTCTGTATTTCAATGGATTATATTGTCCAGTTAACAGAGAATGAACACTTTGCTGCTGAGATTTAGCAGGGAAAATTTACAGAAACTTCATAACATTTATGTTCATTCATGAAACTTAATAACATGTATGCCCACTCATGAAACCTTAGTAACATTTCTGTCCACTCATTTCTGCCTGTAAGTTATTTGGAAAATGCTTCTCTATCAGATTCTTCATGACATACCTGGGAAGGACTTAAGTGGCAGGTGGGGGTCTGTGTGATGGCCACTGCAGACCAGAATCCCATCAAAGACCAGGCTCTCCTGTTTCCCATCAGTCTCCACAACCACATCCCATTGTCCACTGACTCCAAAGTCTGGACGCTTCCGCACACTCCTCACTGTGGTCTGAGAATGAGGAAGCACAGATAGAAACACAGGTGACTCAGTTTACAGTTCCTCCTCCTCAAGTCCTACAAACCCTGATGGGACACTTATCTAAGGTGTTCACACCAATATAGTTCCTGTTCCTTCCACAGTAGGTTCAGTGTTGGGTGCATTTTCAATATATTCAGGAACTTCTGTTACAGATCTAATCTTCTATAGAAATAGAAACAGTTAAGGCTTTATGAAATATTGGAGTAGCTGAATCCACAACATTAATATCTCCCTAGGAAGACTTCTATATGCATGGAGATAATATTTCTTCATGTTTTTCATTCTATAAGACAGGCCTGCATTTTGAAGTTCAAAGAATTAAAATTTCATCATGAAATGAAAACAGGTTTGTGTATTCAAGTTGTAGTGCTGACCATAGGTAGAAGGTAGGAAACAAATATTCTTTGTATGAGCCTGCTTCTTGTTCTACAAGTAACATCATTTGGCTGAAGCTCTACTGCTATAATTATAAGTTCTCAAACATTTTGACTTGATAAGGAAGGCCATGCCACTGCAATGCATGATCACAATAGGTTCTGATGAGCAAAGTCTTCCAACCTCACATTTAAGTGAAATTATCAAAATATTTCAACCTTTGATGATTTCATGCTGTGGGAGCTCACTGATAACCTCTTCTTCATGCATGAAAATCAGAAGATGCTGGGTATAACTTTGTGTGTGCCTAGGTGAGTGGATTTGCTCACATGCATGCACAGGTACACACAGTGCAACATTTCACCTTAAATCGAATGTAACGAAGAAGGCTGAAGTGCGTGGCGTACTTCCTGAGGTATTCCATGAGTTTGCAGTTATGCATGTAGTTGGGAAAGTCCTCAGGAATGGGGAAGTCACTGAAGCACATCATTTCTTTGGAAGTGTTGATAGTCACAGACTTGTAGATGCTAGGCATTTTCTCCAAAGGGTTTTTCTACAAGAGAAAACCCCTCAATACAACAAACTTCATAACTACAAGGTAATAAAATATTTTAAGTGGCCTCAGGTATTTAAAAAGTAGAACATTGCTTTTTATATATTGTCAAACATTCACTGATGTTTTCTCCCTAGCTCCTATATTTTCTAGAGAGAGAAAAATATCACGATAAATCAACAACAAATCCTGTGTATGACTTCTCAACCAGGATAATGGATGTCAGAAAAGAGAATAATGTCTTTAAAATGACAAATCAAAGTGTCTTTCTAGATTTCTAATCCCAGTAAAAATTCCCTCAAGTATGAAAGTGAAGTAATATTTGAGGTAAACAAAAATGACTACACAAAATGGGAAGGTCCAAGGCACCCCAGACAGTACCCATTCCTACAATCTTCACACTCCAGGTCTAGCTGGGGCTCATGCAGCTTTATGTACCCGCTCTAACAAAATGAGAGGTAATTTGATAATAGCAATACCAAATACCATGTAATGTACATTAAAATTATTCTTTAGAAACAAGATTTTTATATTAATGAAAGGAACTATCAATTAAAAACATGAAGTAGCCATGAACTCATAAGCACATACAGTGAACATTTGTATACATGATAAAAACTGCAAAGAGAAATGTAATAGACACTAACATATATGATACACTATATTGTATTTCAAATAGTACAATTTGCTATACTCTCATGGATCTTGATAAAGTTTAACATAACATCATGTCTATCTTATTATTGAGAGTCTTTGAAATTAGACATTCTTTTTCAGCCTTCCCTTTGATCTAGTGTCAACATAGTAAGAAAGTCCTTGTACAAAGAAAGGATGTTGCTCTTCTTGTCCTTACTACAGTCTATACCCACTAACAAAACCCACTTTCATGTGCCCCTCAGAACCATAGCCTAGCTTTCTCCCCCTTGGGCACTACTAGCCAACTATACTAGCCTGCTGGTTGTCCCTGCCATGTTAGTCATGCTCCCGCCTCACAGTCAGTTCTGCACCCCAAGTTCCCCCTAAACCCTTTTCTCGGATGATCTCCAGCCTTGCCTTTTTATTTGTTAATTCATTGTTCCAAAATCACTTTATGTTGAGGTTCTCTATGACCTCTTACTTAGATTATAGTCCCAACTCTCAGATCCTGCTGTACTCTTTGCATTATGCTTACAGTTACTATCTATACTATTTATTTCATTTTTAGGATTTTCCACTCATACCTGTTATTATATTCCTTCACTTGTAAAAGTTCCTTGTACATAGTAAGTATTCAAAAATCTTCATTGACTGAGTGAACTCTTAAAGAAGAAATAGCATGGACTTTGGTACATAAAAACAGAAAGCTGATCCTTGGAGAAATCCCACGGGTTCCAGAAGGGTATTTGAATTATAACAATACCATGTTGAAAGGTGTTTGGGGAGAGTGAGGCTGCTCCTTGGACACTTCTCTGTTTCAGGGATACCAAAGGGAGATCCCAGTGAGACAGTCATGCTAATCACTTTGCCCGAGCAACCATTGTCCACAGAAATGAAGAGACCTCATAGTTAAGCTGTTGATATTTGGTCTGAGTGGGGACAAAAGCCAAGAGCAATAAAGGAAACTTTATTGAAGACCCCTAAGATGTCACATGGGCCATCAATGACTGGTGAGCAAAATGATTCTGTAGGATCATCAGAACTTAGACACTTGGGTCTAAAATGGATGGAGCTAGAAAAAAATCATCCTGAGTGAGGTAACCCAGGCTTGGGAAGACAAACTGGGTGTGTACTCATAAGTGGATGTTAAACATAAGGCAAAGGATAACCAGGCTACAATCCACAGCCCCAAAGAACCTAAGTAACAAGGAGGACCCTAAGAGGGAGGACTGGATCACCCTGGGATGGGAAATAGAAGAGATCTCCTGGATAAAGTGGGGGCAGAGGACAGTAGAGGGGAGGGCATGAGGGATGAGAACATGAGATAACAGGATGGGCAAATTGGGGGAGGGACTGAGGGGTAGAGGAATGAAAAAGGTATTTTGGTGGAGGGTGCCATTATGGGGTTAGGGAGAAACCGGGTACCAGGGAATCCACAAAGATGACCCCAGCTAAGACTCCTAGCAATAGTGGAGAGGGTGCCTGAACTGGCCTGTAATCAGATTGTGACTACCCTAATTGGTATCCTAGAGCCTTCAACAGTAACTGATGGAAGCAGATGCAGAGATCCACAGCCAAGCACTGGGCCAAACTTTGGGAGTCTAGTTGAAGGGAGGGAAAGGGGATTATATGAGCAAGGGGGGGATCAAGATCATGATAGTGAAACCCACAGAGACAGCTGACCTGAGCTCATGGGAACTCACATACTCTAGTCCAACAGCCAGGGCACCTGCACTGGACTGACCTAGACCCTCTACATGTGGGTGACAATTGTGTAGCTTGGTCTGTTTGTGGGGTGCCTAACAGTGGGATTAGGACCTGTCCCTGGTGCATGAACTGGCTTTTTGGAACCTACTCCCTATTGGGATGTCTTGTTCAGCCTTGATGCAGAGGGGAGGAGCTTGGTCCTGTCTCAAGTTGATAAGCCATGCTTTGTTGACTTCCATGGGAGGCCTTAGCCTTTCTGAAGGGAGATGGAGGAGGCTTGGATGAGAAGGGAGGGGGGGTAGGGAGTGGGGGATGGATAGAAGGGAGGTAAGGGAGGTAAGGGAAGGGAACGGGAGGAAAGGAGGGAAGGGAAACTGGTTGTCACGTAAAATATATTTAAAATCTAATTTAAAAAAGAAATGGGCCCATTCAGCAGTTACCACCCTTGAAAGCAGTGCATCTCTTGCTACTTAGAACTCAGAGAAAAAAATAGTCATTGTTATATAAAAAATGTCCTGTAAAACACCCCCCACACACTCACACACACACACATCCACACACCGACAGAGAGAGACAGAGAGACAGAGACACAGAGAGAGAGATCTACATACACTGATCTATATCCCTATACTATGCCCTAGGATATTTAAGAAAGAGTAGCATGCATTTATTACAAGACAGAATGTCAAATTACATAATAGAAGTGCGCAATGGACCATCATTCTATTTTACCATCCAAATCTATGGAATCTCTAACTTTCTAAACAATTAAAAACAATCCATAGCCACCACCACTTTACTAATATTTTCGAGGGTCACACCGGATTTCAGCTGCTTTGAATACAGTCTTAAAAATTTTATTCTTCATCTAAAGTTGACAAGTTTCCTCAATAAGTGATATAAACACAGAGATTAGAGTCACTTCTTGACTAGTTATGGGACTATGTGAAATCCTGTATGTTTCATTTAATGAAACTATCCAAATTATTGTAGCTATTTCAGTGAAAGTATATTTAAAGTCAAATAAAATGCAAATGTACTTGAAATTTCCAAAGGCCTCCGATGTCGTCACTTCTTTCAAAGCAGGTAGGCTCCAAATCTTCATCCAAACAGCACTTGATGGCTCCCAGGCCACTGATCCCAGCTCCAATCACAGCTATCTGCTTCTTAGCCATGGCACCACCACTGACTATTAAGCATAGATAATTCTCACGATCATTCAATCCATTGAAATGAAACTGCTTTATCACAAAGACCAATAGCTTGTTGTTCTAAATTCTTTTTTATTTTTCTTATGAGCATGGAGAATACTAATATATTGAATACCTTCCACAGAAAGCAGCAAAGCTATGACACACAAAAAATGTGCAGAAACCTGCTTGTTCTGCCTGCAAAATTTCACCTATAGTCAGCCACAGAAACACAGATGTATAATTCTAGGCTATTTAGTAATAATAATACTAAATAATACTAAATTTAGTACAATAATAACATTTCACCATGTGGGCTATGGGCAGATGGCACAGAAGGGGCCTGTGAAGGAAATAAGAGATGCAAAGTTAAGAGTGATTATCCAGGAGTTAGCTAGGTGTGGAGCTAGGAAGGTGTATGTCGGGGGAGAGGGTGTGTTGGTGTGTTTGATGTTGTGTGGTGTGCTAACACTCCAGAGTCAAGACAACCTAACTGAAGGCAGAAGCCGAAGAAAGTGTCATGGGAGTCCAGAGCTGGGAGCTGCCTGATTGTAGATCAATAAGACAGGGACTGAAGTGGGTACACTGTGTGCCAAAACTGTGGCGTCATGGGATCTTTAACAGACAAATTTTAGTGGCATCCTGGGATAGAAGGCATCTTCGGAGAAAATAATACTGCTAAAAGTAGAGGGTGACCAGTAATTACACTTCGTAAGCACGCGTAGAAGCAAAGTTAATTTCATGTGATATTTTCTTCTCTTTTTAATGGTATTGTGAAAGCTCAGAGACACAGTTGGGACAATTATAAGAACTATCATTCAGAATGATGACATATCAATGTTTAGTATTTCTCGCCTTAGACTGTATTCATCCACTCACGGTTTTTTATATATTATCTAATGAAAACTGACCCAAACTGCAGACTAGGTACTGTGATTGACCTCAGTGGCTCCAGCCTAAAGGAACAGAGAGGCACAGATAAAGGGAAACCCAGCATGTGGGTAAATGTTAAGATATGAGTACACTGTGTTTCAGTCTCACTGAACCACATCTAAGACTGGTGCATCTATGTCCATTGCTGATGAAGATGCCCTGTGTTGCAGACACTGGCACCCCTACCCTCTTTGTTTCTACGGTGTAAAGTCTTCTATGAGCAGCTCAGGCACAGTTAATTAAGCCCTTCCTTCTCAGTAACCATAGTGACTTGTGTAAATATCTTATTACAGGTATGACACCTTTATTGCAGTTCTGTCTCATTGTGGATCAGCAACAAACTCTCTGCAACATCTGAGATTTATTAGGTGCCAAGGATAAAACCTAATAAACATCTATGGACTCAAAAGAGTGAATGAATTAATTTCTTAACCTCCTTTTAAACTTGCTACCATGCTTAGAAAGTATTATGCCATCCATTATAATCAGATAAAATATATTAATGACTATCTCAAACTTCCCCTACATGAAACTGTATATTATAAGGAAAAACTAAGGTACCAACCCTTGTGAAGAAGGAAGCTGAAGTTTAGTTTGGACTTCTTAATGAAGATAGAGATGATCTTCTCCCCTGCTCTTGAAAATAAAATCCACAGCAACTTGAAGTCTTTTATAGTTGATGGAATTGACTAATGTATAATCCTTTCCCATGACTCGTCTAATTTGGATTTAAAAATGTCATGGGCATATTAGGAAAGGGACTATATCTAATGGTGGTATGTATAATTAACCACTGACATCGGTCTGCAATACATTTTAATACTAATTGACACACTGTAAAAATTATCTCAATGAAATCATTGACATTGGCATAATATGAATTTGGGAATATGAGCAATGTTGCTATTTAACTGGCTATGGTACAAATGGATTTTTTGTCAACTTCTATGAAAACTAAATAGATTATAAATTACAAAAAGGAATATGTAATAAAAATTAAATACTCAGTGTTCTCACTTTATTAAATGTCAAAACACCCATGTTTGACAAAAACTAAACATGTGTTGAGTTAGCCTTAGAAGAGACTTGTGATCTCTCTGAATCCTCCATAAAGGTGGGGGATTCTATAGGATGCGAATCACTGGGATCATTTTCTAGAATACTGCCATCATAGTTGCCTTGTCTCCCTTCCCTCTGACTTTTATGGGTTCGGTACACAGACATCGGCAACCTTTGCAGATAATAGGTGTCCTTCTGTCGGTCACCATATTTGTAGTGTCTGTTAGCAGGATGAAACTACTGTGATGGAAAAGTGGTCTTTATTTTTCAACTGCTGACAATGTCCCAAGTTGTCTGTCTAGAAAATGCCTTTGCCCCGTGTACATTGACTGCCTGCAGTATATGAGGAGGAGAATGGACACTCTAGTCTTCATACTGATGGGAAAATATTCTCAATACATGACTGATACAGCAATAAATGTGAAAGCAAACTAAGATCTGAATGGACAGATGTCCTTTAAACAGCCTTTAGTTTTACCAAGCATTGGTTGGTATTCCATTATGTAAACCATCTAATCCAGTGATTGTCCTGGATACTCTATGTCAGTGTTTCAGAGGTTGTTGAATGCAGAGGAAATCATAAGTTTATTCAGTTCAACAAAACTCTCAATGAGTTTCTTGTTCCTCTAAAATACTCTGACTTCTTCTCCCCCCAAGCCATATTCATTTAACTTTCTTTACATTTTTGATGAGCCATATCCAACATCAATTTATGTCACATAAAGGCACAGCATCTCCAGTCTCATGCGCTTCTCCCTCTACAGAAAGCAAGCATCATCCCCACAGCTACTGTTTCACATTCACAGTTGATGCCACGTCTGAGAGGAAGATGGGCATCAAAGAAACTCGTTATGGAGTTTGCTTTCAATATGGCAAGATTAACCATTTGGGCAAGAAACTGCTCTTGCCTTGACTGTTTGTTGCTGATAAACTGAACATGCAGGACCCACAAGAAAGTGACTGCTGAATTTACAAAACAAGATGAACAGTCCTGAAGGGTTCCTGCTTCATGAGAAGTCTGCCAGACACACTGTGGCCTAGAGGCTGAAGATAGATGCCCCAATGTTACAGAGGAACTTTGGGGGACTGTCCAGGTAGTGAGATGTCTCTGTCAATTCCAGAGTTTATGTATTATCCAAATCTGTGGTCTTTGATGGAGTTGAAGACAGATAGTTATGGTTATAGTTTTCTTTAGTTATTGTAAAAGATAAGCTACGTATAAGACCTTAGGCTCACAAAAACAGGATAGATGATATTTTCTTTAAATCTTGCTAAATGTTAATGAACTAAATATCATAACTATAGTTCTTACTTGATAACTGTTTTGTTATATATTTTACTATGTTAATGTTAAAACCCTTTTTATTTTAGACAGAAAAGAGGAGATGATGGGGGAAGTTCTTCTGTGTACGTTTATCTTATTGGATGTTGTATAAAGTACTGTTGGCCAATGAAGAAGCAAGTTAGGCAGGACTAGGAGTCAAAGAGGATTCTGGGAAATATAGTAAAGAAGTCTTGTGATCTAGGCAGGAAGTGACATAGCAGGCAGACTCAGAAAATAAGCAGGGACAAGTAGGAAGACGTTCTCTTGCTCTTCCTCTTCCTCCTGCTCTCCACTCTGGAGCCGCCATGTGATTCCAGGAAGGCAGGATGCATTCTGCCGGCATCCTCCATAAGATAAGTCTTATGATTATGGTTGCTAATTAAGACTGAGCTACCAGATGAGAAATCCTAGTCATTGGCCAGCAGCATGGTACCTAATATAAGTCTCTGTGTGTTATTTGGGGCCCTAACATGGCAGGCAGAACTCAGGCAGCTCGGTGGAAAGATTTATCATTACACCACCCTTTTCAGGTGTAGATATGAAGGAACATTGAGAAACAAACATGCAGTTACAACAGATTTTCCTAAAGTGTTCACAAACCCCTTGTTTCTTATAAAATACAATAAATGATTTTAACTTAAAGCCTGTCAAATTATATCATAAATTCCTTGAAATGACAGATGAATTTCTCTATGACTACAATATGATGAATACATGCTGTCTCCTGGATTAGGTTTATCTTTTTTGGTGATGTTTCATGTACAAAGTTACAAAGATAAACCCATGTTCACCTTTTCTCCCCTCATCTTGATGTATGACTTGTCAGGGCAGAAGTGAGCTAAAGGTTGGTACTAAAGAAAATAATCTGTCAATCAAGAGTTTAATTTCACTGGAGTTACCGGAAGAGATAATAGCTTGGTGGTGCAGATTTCTTGGAGGCCTGTCACCACACCTTCCTTATTGCGGCTTTTCTCTGCTCCCAGTTTACACCATCACCACTTGGTTCCTCCCACACGTGGGAAAGTCCGCTCTGAGATTGCATTCGGTTCACCTGTGGTATTTCTTGGTCTGGGCTATGCTTTATTTTTCTTTCTTTTGTTAAAATTTCTGTCTTTCTATCTGAATCTCTATAGACACAGTATATCTGTCTCCTCCCCCAGGAGAGGAGATCTCAAGGTGAAAACTCAATGCTACTCAGCTGTGCTCTAAGGGAACAAGGGAAAAGGTGAGAAAGGAGGGCAATTATTGCAAACAATGATCTCCCGAAATGGCTGCTCCTTCCTCAGAAGAGTGGTCCAGCATTTAATGCCTCAAAAATGAGTCCAGTAGACTTTCAACATGTATTTTCCCCACACCATGAGCTTTTCTCATAGCCTCAAGACTCCTCACAGGAAGCAGTCTCCACTGAAGGAACTAGTTAAAGACGCGTTGTGGCAGAGCGGGACCCAAGGTTTAGCATGCTAAGTTGGATACTATTAAGTTAAATACTACTCGTAGGGCTTGGGTATTTTGAGCTAGTCCACTTACTGGAATAGACACACTGGTCTCACTCTGGATTCCTATATATGGCATTTCCTTCTGTCCCATGTTAACCAAGTAGAGATGCGTCAGGACATTTTCTTCAGACTTGGTTCAGCCGAAACTGTAGTGCTCCTGGACCGCAGAATTA